AAAAAACTGAAAAACTGATAAATAGAAAATTATAGTTCAAGTGTATCTACAATCCGTATAAATTTTTAGGCGCGAGTAATATATAAATTAAAATTCAATCTCCAAATGAGTATAAAAATTTGAAAGTAGGCCATTACTAACACTTAATTCTTTTACTAGTTGCTCATCATTCTCATTATTTCGTACAATTGTATTTCTACAGATTCAATAGGACTGGTGGATTTTTTTGCACAATCTTTCTGTTGATTGAGGAAATATGTTTATATTTGTTCGCGTGATTCGCAAAACTTATTAATTACATAAAGTATATGTATCGATTTTCTTCGCATTAATCGCGAAAATTAATTGTAAAATGTATACAGTAGGATTTTTTACACGTATTTTTTGTGGATTTTTGTATGGTGTATAGTGTGCTTGTTTTTTTTTTTTTTTACGATGAAATTATACATTTTATTTTTAATGAGCATGTACAGCCTATAAACTCCGGCCAAATCAGGTCTCTTTTTTTTCTACTACTGTCTATTTAAAAAAAAAATTTTTTTAATGGAAATCGATGATTGCACATTGAAAATAGTTATTATGCAAATAAATGTATTCTTATCAAGATTTAAAACTGAAGAAGAGATATTTATGTACTCGTAAATTGATGAGAAAACAATCCTTGTAGGAAAAGTTACACGTTTAAAAAACAAAAAGTCGACAGTAATCATGTTAATTACACCAAAAATAACTGAAGTTAAAATTTTGATGCTGCATAAAGATTCATACTTTTTTTTTTAAATAACATTGTTCTTTCAGTTTTTGTTAGAAAAAATGTATTGTTTGTGTTACTATTTTGTGTACATATTAGATGAAAAAAATTCAAAAATATGCAATTTTATAGAATATATCATGCATAAGGTTGGTTTATAGTTAAATTCAATCTAAATTTATTATTTATTTATCAAGAAATTGATATTGAAAGTTAAAATCTGGGCTGATATTACGAAACAACACTATAATGATAATTCTTAATATTTACTCTAACGAAATATTCGTACAATAAATTATAATATGCACATGTAACTTTTGTTTCCAATAGTCTATTTAATAACTCGTAATCACTGGATGCATTTACATGTGATGAGATGACACTCGTAACACAGCAATAAAAGGTTGTAATGGCCATCGGTTATTTGTGCATCACATGTATACAAACAGGCACTTACATGTGGCTAGATAGCATCTGCCCTTCTCTTTGATGACTGTCAGCTCACATCAAGCTTTAGGCACGTGCTCTCTGACTATCAATTTACGCGCTTATCACCCTATATTGATATCGTAATTTGGTTTATGCGGTTCATACACGTATTCTGACACAATCACAAGGCATAAGGATATTTTATTGTTTAAACAAACGTACGCATTTCAAACTAATTCATACATTTGTGACACTAATCTGTATCTTGTTGATCCTGACATATCTGCCAACCTATATAAAGCATTAGTACATCAGTTTTTTGGTTTTTTCACTTATCTGCACTTTGACCTCTATACCGTCTTGTTTATCTTTCAGTCTCTATAAGCAAGTATCTATNCCTATATAAAGCATTAGTACATCAGTTTTTTGGTTTTTTCACTTATCTGCACTTTGACCTCTATACCGTCTTGTTTATCTTTCAGTCTCTATAAGCAAGTATCTATTGTTTATTCGTACATTTTACGTCAAAGTTATTCCGAACCCAGTTTCCTTATATTCTGGATCCTGAGAGATCCTTCATTTTATGGATATTTTCTGTAATCTTAGACATCAGGTTATTTATAAAAATTCTTCATACACTTCTCCTTGCAGTAAAAACTCAAAGGTGAATATCTTTATTACTTTTATTGAACATTATAGTGATTATTTTATATGTTCTGATTTTCTTTCCTTTTGTCTACCAAATTTTCGATTCGATTCAAATGACTAGGTTATTATATAAAACAATCTTCTTTTTATGTTCAATCAACTTCCAGAGGGAATGCGTGGGATAGATACCCTCAGTTTTTGTAAGTTCAGACTTTTTTAAAACCTTTTAAAGAAAGACCAGCGTGAGATGACAGCCATAAGACCAGAGGGATGACAGCTTCCAGATTACTTTGTTTTGTATAGCTGTAATGAATATGTTGATAAATTTATGTATTGATCAATGGGCCTCATGCGGCCTCTCCAACGTTATCTTCGACACCTTAATGTATTATGTTATAAATATAATGTATTAAAGTCTGAAATTTCATGCCAAGATTAATACTATAGTTACGCACCATTTCCTGTACACTGATCTTTATTACTGTACCATGTATGTATTTAAATATAAGACTTATATTGTTTTGTGATGTTATCATCGGGACTCTATTGTCCTTGGGAATAAATCAATGGATTTTTGTGTTCGTGACTGTGTTTCTGTATCGATTTCTACAAATTCTTTTTAACGTCTGAGATAATGTTTTTATATCTCTGTCTTTATATGTCTATTTGTGATTGTTTTGTAAAATAGATAAAGTTTATCTTTGCTTGAACTGCAACTTTAATTTTTTTTTTCAATTTCTCAAAATCTCATCCGATTTCCTGCACTTAGTAAAAATCACTAGACGATTTTCAGCCAAACGCGCAACGACTACATACAAAAAACTTTAGTCTTGCGACAATAATAAAACATTCCTTGTCGAAATTGTAAAATCGTTCCATAATAAGAAATCCTTCAGTTTTTGGTAAAGTTACATGATGCGCTGGTCGAAATTATTCTCCGTAAGTCAAAGGAATTACTATGATCTTTGCCACATAATTAGGTCAACAGGAATAAGCATCACCAGTAAGCGGAAAATAGGAAGACCTGTCTTGGTTCATACATATATTATGTGTGTATGCGTGGGTACACAGGCCTCGTTGAGCCAAGAACGCATAACTGATTTATAATAAGATTCTTGAGGCTGTGTTATATATACGCATGTACCTACTTTGTAGAACTTTGGGGAAACTTGCTGTGTAGAGGTATATGGGCTCTCTCGTGTATTGAACGGCGACGAGGACGAGGGTCACGGGAGGTACACGATGAAATATGGCCGTTGAATATTATATGTCGCTACTGGAAATTTATTGCCGTTAGCAAGTCCAAATAGCACCGGGGAGAAAGTCCTTTTCTCCTTTGTAAATGGTGAATTACGACATTGGGAGGATCTTTCGGATTGATTTTTGCTATCTGTATCGTATTTTTTTTTTTTTTTTTTTTTTTTTTTTTTTTTTTTTTTTTTTTTTTNTTTTTTTTTTTTTTTTTTTTTTTTTTTTTTTCTTTATGGCAGAGTGTATACGTTGCTATGCGAACGAATGAAATAAATCTTAAAAAAAAAAAAATATTTTCGTGCCATCATCACACGCGGTAAGAGGGTCAGTGACATGAGTTATCAGAAGTGCGCTTGTGGCGAAAGTTATTTCCTTCCTGATTCTTCGGTAACTCCGTGACCTATATGTATTTTTCGGATTTATGAAGACTTAGTGCCCCTCACTTTGGTGGCTTGAAGTGCGGTTAATTTTATGGACCAAAGAGATGATCTGCCTGTTTCCTCTTCAAACTTTTCCGGGTAATCGAAGTTTTCGCGACGGCACAGTTGATATCGATCAGATGGTGGGCCACAGCTGGAATAATTGTGTTCCGCACAAACTGAAGTGTCAGGACTTATAAAGTTGGGCAATCCGTAGAGCCAAATGATCGATTTCAGGTACAACGTGAACGGGAATACTACGCTTAGGATTCGTGAAAAAAAGTTGGCTTCATTTATGTTTGTGACTATACAATTTTTCACCCCTAAAGCAATATTTTTCGCTGAATCAGAAAGTGTATGTAATTAAGAAATTTTTTGAAATACATTGGATCATAAAATTGAATAAAAAATGTTTATTGGTATCCATAAGAGCAAGCAATTTGTATCTCTTCATCTAAATCTATTTGGTAAAATCAAACGAAAAGTTGATTCCTTAATTACGATTTTGCTCGTTTGTATGAAAAATCTTTTTGCTGTCAGGAAGATTTATCTATTCGGTGAAATAAAG